TAGAACCAAATTGAAAGTTAAACAAATTCTTGTATTAAGAACCGAAAGTAATATATTAAAACGATGTACAGGTTACTATAGTTTAATCAATTCTGGTGATAACTTTCCTTAACTCATTAATATTCTCCCCTTTTTTAAGAGTAATATGCCATCTCAGATTGATAATAAATCTAATTCATGAGAATAACTATTATTTATCACTATCATTAGCATTATCATCACACAAATGTACAATGATCGCGGAATAATATTTAATTACTGTTAAATTAATACTCATTATGTAATGATATTTTTTTTTAAATGTGAGTATGAAAAATCAGTCTTATAATAAGGAGATAAAATCTGGAAATAAATTTTCTTAAAATTATTTTTGCCCACATAAATTGTAGCTCTACTTGCCACTTTTAAGTTATAAATGTTTGACCTGACTATTACATTCAGAAACAAAAGAACCATAAAAATCTCTCTCCACCCCTCCAGCACAAAAGAAAAGGGCAAAATTAAAGAATTTTGATGGGGTCCTTGATTCTAGAGTACCATTACTGACCGATGGATTTCGCATCAAGCCTGACTGGGGTTTTTTCTCTGCTAGTTTTGCATGCACTAATCAGAAATATATTTTGGGCAAATTAAAGAAAAGAAATTAAAGAAAGAAAGAAAAAACGTGTGGACATAATAATAAGGTTTGTGGGGTCAATTGAAAATTAGAGAATAATACAAAAATTGACCGTATAGGAACTTTGTACCACTTGCGTTGTGCTGCTATCAGCGATCATTGGCTGCAGAGAGAACCATATGTAAGATATCAAGCTAGCCGTAAACACTTGTAACTCTACAGTGCAAGTGAATCCCAAAATATCTGTCTTATTTAATATTAAAAAATTAATTTAATTAGTTATTTATAATAAATATATAGTGCTTTTTTTAAAATACAACCATCATACATTGAAATACCCTTTTATGTAAACTCTTTAACACATATAACTATCATTGAGATTATTTGGAGCAAAATATATAAATATTAGAGATAAAATAGATTGAGGTTTTATATATAGGATCAAATTGAATTTTCAACTAGGTTTTATATTAAGGACGAGAGATAATATACATATAATGATCAAATATATGTTAATAAAATGTCAGTACGGCACAAAAAAAACGTACAAAATACAGTGCATATAAGAAAACTTCACGCATCAGATATTGACTTGTAAGAAAATACAGGAGATTGAACATAAAAGTTTTAAATACAAGCGTTAAACAACCACTCAAATTAACATCAGTTGAATTAGAATTATATTGAAACAGGAAATTTAAGTGAAAACAATGTCGGCACAAAGTCGATAATCTATCAATATGATATGAGCAAGTAATATACTTTATGAAAAATTGTCTCATTGTAATGCTGCATGATGAAACACCAATCAACAAGAAACCGATGAAGAAACTTATGTCACTAACTTTACTTTTGAAAGAAGAACAATGGGCATCTATCCAAAAAGGATCGAATTTACATCCTCCTAAATAAAAATTTAAAGAGGTGCTTCGGTTCCATTACATATAGATGAATTAACTTCAAGTTTTTCTTGAACGATACTACTTCCGATCTTTAATATAAGATATTATTTCATTTTTATTTTAGTTCTAAATATAAGACCTCAATATTTTGTCTCTGGTATTTATATGTTTTTTTTCAATGTAGTCCTTCTAATAATAGTAGTTCTAGCCAATACATTTGACTAATAGGATATTTTAGGAAAAATAATACTCCTTCGATCCTTAATATAGGACCCAATTGTTGAGTTGGTTTTGGTTATAAATATAAGACCCATTTCTCATATATATGAATTTTCTCTAAATTACTCCTATAGATACTCTCTCAATTATAATTAAGTAAAAGAGGAAGATGAGGTATTAAGAAAGATGTTATAATATTTTAGGAAAAAACATGTCATATTTTTTATAATTAATTAACTTATCTAACTTTTTTAATCTAATCAAATCAGTTAAATGGGTTTTATATTAAGAACAGGAGGAATACTTATTTATTATAAATAACTGACTTAACTTATTTTTTAATTTCTTTAAATTAGTCAGTTAACTCTTATAATTAAGACCAAAGATAGTATTAACTTCAAGTTTGGTCACATATAATTACTAGAGGAGTTAACATATGAAATTGATTTGAATTAATATTAGAAAGGGGCTATTATGAAATTTTGATTGGGAGAGATACGCACGTTTCGATACACTGCTTATAGGGAGGGCGTCAAGTCCATTGGCTCGCACTACTTCAACAGGGAGATTTGCATGTAAGGAGGGAATTATACTTTCCGCTGATTTATTTATCAATTATTTGAAGGAATTTAATTAGTTGTAGGAAATTTTTTTAAAAAAAAAAGTAGGTTAGATCAAGACGCTATAACTAGCACCATTTCTGTATTGTAGTTTGTTCAAGCAACAGAAAATTAGAAATATATAACATATTCGGGACATAAAAGGTACGATGTCAGCAGAATATTTATTTTTAAATAATAAATATGATAGACTGACATTGTTTGGTACATTTTTACCCTGTACTAACTCCGGTTCTTAATATAAGATCCTGTTTGATTTTTATTTTAGTTCTAAATATAAGACCCCAATCCATTTTGTCTCTTATATTTACTCAATTTTTTTTCAAGATAGTCCTTCTAATAATTATAGTTCTAGTCAATACACTTAATTAGCAGTGATATTTTAGGAAATACAACACCTATTTAGGACAAATAACTAACTCAACTTATTTTCTTAATCTCTTTAAATTAATCAACTAGCTCTTATAATTAGGATCAGACGTAGTATTTCGGTTACCATCATCTTTTCCCAATATTAAATTTGTTAGCTTAAACTTTTTCAGTCACCAAATTTATTAAACAGTCAAAATTTTGACGTTAAAAGTTTACTACTTAGTCCTCTACAAATATTTTAACATTTGTAGTATCATGCGTATTGACCAATAATGGTTTGATAGTTGGAGTGTTTAAAGCCTATTTCCTTTTGACAACAGTGAAATTTATTATCAATTAAAAAAATAATGGTTAGGTTGAGTGAAAATAATTTGATTTTTTTTTTCAAAGATGGTCATTGATTCCCACAAGTTATTATAGGGGGTCCTCTTGCACTTGTATCACTGAAAATTAATTTTTCGTATTTTATTAAATGAAATACAGAGGGTGCAAAAAAATTGCTATAATTGATCAATTAATGGAATTACTCATGGTGATCCATTTTAGCAAGTAAAAGAATCTGTCACTTGAATTGCGGTTATATTAATTAATTAATTAATCATTCAGCGATAATGGAAAATCTAATAGCACCAATCCTCTTACGCTGTATACAAAAGTTGATAATGCAAAGCTCATTATCTCGGCAATTATTACTCATTATGCTGCTAAATATGTGTGTTTATTGACTAATTTGTAGAATTCAGTTGGCTATTTATAATGAAATATAGTATTATTAACTAATTTGTAAAATTAAGCTGATTATTTATAACCAATACAGAGATTTGTGATATTATATACATAAATTTTTGAAGTGTTCCTATAATTAATGATTAAAATCAAACATAAAAAGACAAAATACTCAATGAAAAATGTATTACGAGAAAGAAAAATTTAATACCACCTCTCATACTTAATATAAAATTTATTTTGTAGTGATAATTTTGATCACTCTAAATGAAGATATCATATTAGAATCAAACTAAAAATTACTAAATGAGTATTTCTCCAATTAAAAAAAGTTTTATATTTAAGACCGGAAGAGTATTACATTTAGTATAGCGGGATAAAATATGGGTTAAGGCTCATCTAAATATATTTAAAACTCTAAAATATTTTGTGATGTAATTATAATTTTAAAATTTTAAAATTAGATACATATTAAAAAATATTTTAAGATGTTGATTAGAACTGTCAAAATAGAGTAATCTCTAAATCTTAACCCATATAACATTCATACTTCTAATATGCCGTGCCACGTGGGCCCTCCATCTACCACCTCTAGCCTCTCGCCACGTGCACGGCACATGGTTGCCTCACATGCACCTGTAACTGTAAGGAGCGACAGGCAATAATTCCGGAAAAAACGAAAACCCCCCAGACCAGAAGAGAATCTCCCTTAGCAAAGCCTGACCTCATTGACTAAAAGGCCCTCTCATTTTCTACAAATAACAAGATATGCCACTCGTATAGGAATCCTTCGTAGGTCGTATTTATACGATGCGGATGTGTAATCCGCTTCATCTTTTTCTCTCCTTCCCCTAGATTTAAGCCTCAAAGCTCTCAAAACTTTCACGACGATATCTTCATTTTCAATCTTTCTTTGTTTCTTTTTATCTTTTCCTCTCTTCTCTCTCTGGCTGGCTCGCTTCAGCGCGTGTCGGTGTACAGATCTTGCGCACTATACGCTCTTCTTTCTCTCTCCACAGTGTGCTTTCTTCATTTACTATTCAGCTGCACCTAATCGTGGTTGCTTTTCTCTTGGTGGAAGCTTGCGTTTGGGTTTTGTGAACGCAGATCTTGGGGGGGGGTGTGTGAAAATGAGATAGTTCTCGTTTCTTCTGGGTTGGAGCCTGGTCGCTTTTTGATTGTGGTTGGTGGTGGTGGCTGCTGGTTGGTGGTGCGGGCGGTACTATTGAGAATTGGAGAGGGAAGGTGCATGTGGGATTTCATTTGGATTCTATGTTTCGTGAAGGATTTGGGGAAGAGAATCCGCTGGGATTGTGGACTTGTGATCCGGAGCAGGGGTAGGTGGGGCAAATGTGGTTGAGTTTTGGGGAGAATTGAGACCTCGGCGTTTTTATTTTGTGAGTTTGTATCTCTAATCTTAACTCCATAGGACGGTTTTGGAGACTGTTTTGGCGTCGCCACAAAATGCAGCCAGATCAAAGAAAAAAGGTGGATTGTTAATTTTGTTACCCTGCTTGATAAACCTTTTGGCCCCGCTCAAATTATGTAACTTGAACAAATATTATTGCTTTTTGAAGTTCTGTCCGAATAATGGAGCTACCTTTTATGACAAATTGGATCAACGGCTTGATAAAGTCATGTTTATGTTGGTTGGTACTGGAATTTTCGATCCTCTGAAGCTAATCGTTTGGATAAGCCTCAGCCAAGTTGGTTCATCGGGGTTTTCTGAGATATCATTGCGTGCTATAATTTCTCTCATCTTCTCTATCTCTTACCGTCTTTTTTCTATGACTAAGGGAGGATTCAATCCGTTGTTGAAATTCTCACCCCATCTTCGAGCTCTAGCTCTTAGATATGTGTTTTCCGTATTTTGTCTCAACAGAAGAGAGCTTCCTCTAATAGATGGTTATAATTTAACCCGGCATCAGATCAGAGTTTTGTCTGTTGCTATTTGTTTTTATTAACGGTAAATATTATTAACTATATTTTAATTGCTCCCCTTTTTCCTGCTTTCCGCGTCTTTACCTCTGGTTATGATTCCTGTTCTTCTCGTCTCTGTTTCCTTTGAAACTTCCCTTGGGGTGTGATTCCTTCTTCCCACTCATGAGTGGCCATTACTGATCATGAGTAAGAACTGCATCTGAATTCTAAATGGCAATCGAGTGCGATATATAGGTATGCGTCATCCGCGTCATTGACTTGTTGCTGCTGAGTTCAAAAGCAATTAGCAAGTGCCATTTGGCTTATTTGAAATCTTTAATGTTAGTAGAATGGGGAAAAATGATGTATTGGATAAGAGTTATTCGTGGGTCATCAAAAGATCGGTGTCTCACAAGAATTGTAATCTATTAATGGCTTAAACACTATGTTAGTTTTATCTATGAGTCTATTAATCTAGGTACATTATCCTTGACTTACAAAGCTTTATAATGCCTAGTAATTTTACAAATGATTATAAGTTATTTAATATAAATTAAGATCTCCTTATGAGAAAGTTCAGGAAATTTCTATTTTGTTTTAAGTTGCATCAAATAAATTTGATCCTCGTTTGTTGCTTTCACTTGATTAATGAAAGTTTCCACATTGTCAATATTGTGCTTTCTTGAGAATCCTATGCTAAATAACTTTTTTATTGCTGCTGCAGAGTTCAACAGAGATTGAATTTTTCTCTGAATATGGGGATGCCAACCGATATAAAATTCAAGAAGTCATTGGAAAAGGAAGTTATGGCGTTGTTTGTTCAGCAATTGACGCTCACACTGGTGAGAAAGTGGCAATAAAGAAGATACATGACATCTTTGAGCACATCTCTGATGCTGCCCGTATTCTTCGTGAGATAAAGCTGCTCAGACTTCTTCGACATCCAGATATTGTTGAAATTAAACACATCATGTTGCCTCCTTCTAGCAAGGACTTTAAAGATATTTATGTTGTTTTTGAGCTTATGGAGTCTGATCTTCACCAAGTCATTAAAGCTAATGATGACTTAACGAAAGAGCACTATCAGTTTTTTCTTTACCAGCTACTTCGAGCATTGAAGTATATTCACACTGGTATTCTTCAACATCTTCTTATTTAGGCAATTGATATCCGATACTTGATTGTGGTTTCCTTACTTGAATTCATGTGGTCTGTATAAGTGTGTGATTTATGTTTTTAACGTTCGTGAATCATTATATTTTTAGTTAATCCCTTTGTAAGTTATATGTGAAATAAAATCATTGTTCATTATATATATTAATCAATAGGGAAGAGTTTGGGATAGAGCATTTTGTTTTGTTTGAATATTCAAGTTTTCCTGTAACTTCAATATGGGTTTTGCATTATCCTGACATTGCATACTGTCTTCCCTGACTCATTTTAAGCTATTCCTTTGCCCCTTTTGCAGTTGTTTTGTTCTATTCTTGATTTTTTTAATTGGGTACATGGCTACATTGCAGCAAACGTCTATCATCGAGATCTGAAACCAAAGAATATATTGGCCAACGCAAACTGTAAACTCAAAATCTGTGATTTTGGGTTAGCTAGAGTTGCCTTCAGTGACTCGCCAACTACTATATTTTGGACGGTATGCAATTCAACCCATTTGTTTTTTTTTTTAATTTATTTTTTCCTTTTTAGCTTTTTCTCCACTTTAATGATCTTAGTTTTTAAGTTTAATTATCGTTTTCAAAAGTAGAAGACGGTGTTTTGATTCTTATTCAATATGCAACTGTAGGATTATGTTGCCACAAGATGGTATAGAGCTCCAGAGCTTTGTGGATCATTTTACTCAAAGGTATCCCTTCATTCAGATTATTTGTGACAGTGAGAAATGGACTTATGTGTGGTCTTCTCACCCTACCTTAGTTCAAGATCATTAAACATGCATTTGAAAATTGCACGTGCATGCTCTGTATTACTTCCTTTCCCGTCAATTTCTTTGTTGTGTTCCTCTTGTTCCAATATAATTGATTGAAGGAAGTTACTCAGACTATTTAAGATATTCAGTAAAATGAAAGGGAATAAATATGGAAAATAAAGAGGAACATGTAAAAATATATAAACTTGAAGATGAAAGCCAAGTTTTGTACCATGTTTGGGACTTTGAAAAATGCAAAAGCTTAATTTTTTCCCCCCTAATGTCATAATGCAGTATACACCGGCAATTGATATCTGGAGTATAGGTTGCATCTTTGCAGAAGTTCTTACAGGAAAACCACTTTTTCCTGGTAAAAATGTCGTCCATCAGTTGGATCTGATGACTGATCTGCTTGGGACTCCCTCACTGGATACAATATCTCGGGTAAATTGATAACCCTTCCAGTGTTTGTGGAAAAAAATTGTTATTTAGGCTTGCTTTAGTCTCTGGCTGAAATTGTTTTTTGCATGACATTCTTCTATGTTGGATGCAGGTTCGTAATGATAAGGCGAGGAGATATTTGACTAGCATGAGGAAAAAGCAACCTGTGCCATTTTCACAAAAATTTCCTAATGCAGATCCTTTAGCTTTACGGTTACTGGAAAGATTGCTTGCTTTTGATCCGAAAGACCGGCCTACTGCTGAAGAGGTTTGTTACCTTTTGCTCTGTTGCTTATGTATGTGCAGTGAGAAGTATTATAGATTAATATTTAACTGCCTCTCAGTATCTTCCAATTTCTTTGGACAAAAGAAGGCCTAGCGTATTATAGAGGTTGTACACCAACCAGGAAAATGTTGCCTTCAGTTTCTTGCTCCAGATGCTGGGTGTTTTTTGATCTTTGGGGTTTTCAGGCACTGGCTGATCCTTACTTCAAGGGATTGGCAAAGGTTGAGAGGGAACCGTCCTGCCAGCCTATCAGTAAAATGGAGTTTGAGTTTGAAAGGCGGAGAGTTACAAAGGAGGAAATACGAGAGTTAATTTTCCGTGAGATTCTGGAGTATCATCCACAACTGTTGAAAGACTACATAAATGGAACAGAGAGACCTAATTTTCTTTATCCGAGGTTTTTTTTCCCTTGGCCTTGGGTGCTTTTTAAATTTTAACTTCCATTTCATCCTTCTATTGGTAAACTTGTAGTCAAATTTCTATTTTGTTATTTTCTACTTATACTTTCTGGGTGCGTATTCTTTGCAGTGCTGTTGATCACTTCAGGAAGCAATTTGTTCATCTTGAGGAAAATAATGGTAAAAATGGCCCCATGCCTCTTGAAAGAAAGCACGTTTCTCTTCCAAGGTAATTCATAAATGCGGTAACTCATTGCATTTTCCAATTATTTGTTTGTATTGTAACTTCATTGATGTAATTAATGCCTTTGGTTTTATTATTCTTATGAGGGGGATCAATGTTCTATGATAAAAAAATAAGTAATGATGGTCATTTGTTCCAATAATTCCAACTACTACTCTCTTCTAATTTTGAACGAGGGGCATAATTGGAAACATCCATTAATTGCACTTAAATGAGACCAACAAAATCACGTAGTTTCTGCTTTTATAATGGAGACTAGTGAGTACAACTTATCATGAATTTCCTAGAACAAAACATTTGATGTATATGTGTAAAGAAAAACAGAGAAAGAGCAGCTTAGCCTGTTCTGAATTAGCTTTAATTGCAGAAAGCAACCGCAACCCTGTGCATAAGCTCTTTGTTATGGAATCTTTCCACGAAGTGTCCCATTTAGCTCTTTATAGTCAGCGGTGCGAGTTGGGTTGTGGATGAGTATTATAGAGCATGACTTGCATATTTTTGGTCCGCATGCATTAAACTTTTTGTCTGAGAAGCAAGGGTTTATATTGTGGTAAATTAATGGCGATGAAGCTATTCTCCCTTGAATTTATTTTCCAGTTGTGATTAATGTTGCTCTTTCAATATGGGTGTGGGGGGAAATTACTTCAATGGGTTAACATTATCCTCAGTTTGTCCCGGCATCATTTGCTGCCAAATATGTGCCTTTTTTATTTTTTATTTTTTACACACAAGAGTCTCCATTTCTGAGAACTTCAGGGGAAGTTATTATGTTTTACTGATAACTCGGATCTATTGGTAGGTCAACGGTTGTGCATTCAAATATGGTTGCACCAAAAGAGCAATCAGATGTCAATTCCAGCAAGAACAGGCAAACATCTGAGGAATATAATAGGAACCCCAGAGACACAGAAATTTCTGTTACAAGGTCAATGCAGGGGCAGCTGAGAGTCCCAATGGGTATGAAATTGCTATTGTTGTGTTCAGTTAATGTTTTACATTTATGAATAACTGAATTGCTAACATTCTCTTACTGACATTGTCTTGCTTCTCAGCAAAACCCGGAAAAGTAGTTGGGCCGGTTGTTCCTTACGAGTATGCGAGTGTGGTCAAGGACTCGTATGATCCAAGGACATTTATCAGAGGTTCTATGCTTCCTTCTCAAGCTGTTCACCCTGCTTATTATTACCACAGATCGAGTTCTGGAAATCAAGAAAGGTCAGCTACAACAGAGTCTGATAAGGGTGTATCTGTGCAAGCCAAACGTGCACATTCTGAAGTTCGTGCCAAAATAGCTCCAGATATAGCTATTAATATTGATACAAACCCTTTTTTTATGACACGGGCAGGAGTGAACGGCATCGAACAGGATGATCGAATAGCAGCTATGGACACGAATCTAATACCAACGAAGGCTCAATATGGTCGGATTGGTGCCACCACGACGGCAACTACTGCTCATAGAAAGGTTGGTCCTGTCCAGTATGGCATGACTGGTATGTTTTAGGAGTTATCAAGTGGATTTTGGCCAAAAAACAAAAAAAAGTGGATATTTTGGCCAATGAGGGAGAAATCGTTTTAGGGAAAGGTCCTTTATGGGGGAGGGCGCTTGGGTCTCTCGTAGGTTCTGTAAAATAAGGGTGAGCGAGGCCGTGAGGCAGCCATTCCCTTCGAAGAGCCTGCTTTCTCTGGTCAAGAGATGCTTTAGACTTTGGTAAGAAGCTGTATAATTGGAATTGACTCCTACTTATTGAGATCCTCTTTCATATCTCCCTCTCTGCCTCTCTCCACTCAATTATGATTAATAAAAAGGATGAATTGTATGTAAATTTCTTTAGTATTTCTTATGAAGTTCCTTAAAGAGTGTCGCATGAAAATTCAATCTATGTTTTTTCTTGGAGTGTTATGTGTTTTACTAAGAACTTTGTTTGACTCTTTAAAATTAGTTTATTTAGACAAAAAGATAGTCCATTGAAATGTGAAAATTTCCAAATAGCTTTGTGGCATAATTTTTTATTTTATCCCCCAAGGGACTTCTTTGACATCAGACTCTGTTGCCAGATGACCATATTGTTTGTAGAGAGAACCCCCTCCAAGAAGGAAAAAGCAAAAAAAAAAAAAAAAGCTCCATTGACCGCTAGCCGCCACTGGTTGCGACTAGAGTTTCAGCGGCTAAAGTCTGGCACCGGCCAAAGTCAGTGATTGGAAATTATGGAGAAGGAGGGGTGATATTAAAGGGAAGCAGTTATTGATCTCAAAGATCATGTTTTGGGGAAAAAAATTATTGTCGATATGTCATTTTATAACACAAATTAATGTCGGTGTTTGTGGACTTGGAAATTTCCCAGGTAGGCAATCGGTGTAGTTGTACTTGAGGAATGAAATTGAGTGACTGATTGACTCACTATTGTACATTTGCTCTTCTCCCATACTTCATCGTCACCGTGTCAATAAAATAATTGAAAATTATTATTATTTTTATTTATGTCCAGTTTTCTCTGTAGATCCAATGAGCTTCAAAAATAGGAAACTTGGTCTTTTTCCCCCTAAACCAAAGCAGTGTGGTTGCGTGTTACGGTATTAGTGCAGCACGGATGCTTCAAAAGGGATGTTTTGTGACTTTCGTCTTTGGTTTAGGTCCCGTCGCTCTTGAAATGGCCAACATGGATGTCTCCTCAAGATATGTCATGGAAATTCTTTTATTTCTTTTGGTTATTAAATCTAATTTAAAATTTAATCATTTTAAACTTCTTTTGATGAAAATTCTCTTTAAACAAATTATGTGTAGAGGGAGGATTTGGTATATTTAGGTGTGGAAGCTAGTAATAAAATAAAATATTTAAGTGAGGAAAAAGATTAAATATTTGTCCATTTATTTGACTCAGATTATTTTTATTGAGCTGAATAAAACAAATATTTCATTAACTACTTAATAGTTGATAAATGGGAGAAAGACCCCCAAAAAAAATCTCTAAAAATATATAAATTTTAATTTAGGACCTTGAAATAACATGACTACTTTGAAGTGTTTGAGGTTTTTTTTTTTTGGAGATTATATAGAGTAAAATTACATACACACCTTTCATTTGAAATCCTTGAATCCCACAACAAATAACAATTTTTGTAAAACCAATGACAAGAACAATATATCCAATGACAAGTTCTATATGCTTTTGCATTGACAAGATTAAGTAGAAACTCAAGGATTACAAGAACATCTTAGGGAATAAAACCTTTTGCATAACAAATGAAAATATCAAATTTTTAATTTTGCCCTATTAGTAATGTTAACCTTTTCATAGAGACTAAAAATACTAAATGTTGCTAAAAAAAGTAAAATTAAATAATTTAATTAAGAGAAAAAGGACACATAGATATCACACTAAAAATTAAGAGAAAGTATAGTTACGTTCAATATGATTTTCTCTAAAATAATTAAAAACACTAAATTTGTTATAAAATTCCAGACACCTTACTACCCAGAGGGAGTAGTAAGAACTTCAGAGGAATTGGTTCATCTTGAAATGTAAATAAAGATTTGCATTTTTTTAGGATATTTTCTAGTCATTCTCCCCTGAGAAAATGAGATTAAGTGGCCTCAAAGGGAGTTGGAAATTGGAATACATTGAAGGTCAAGGACCTCAGTCTTACCTAAACGAGTTGTAAATCCTTGAAAATGAATTGTGAATTGCTAAACATAAGTTGCAAATTATAGGATATCAGTTATAAATTTTAAAAAAGAGATGTTCATGATTTCTATAAAGTTGGAGTCTTGAGTTCCTAAAAATCATCAAATGTCAATTGCAAATTGTGAAGATTAGTGGTACGAAGACATAATTAACCAACAGTTATGATGAGTAAATGAATTGGGCCTAGTTTATTAGTACAGAATAATATAACTTTTATAGATAACGATTCTATTATCATGCATGAACGAGAGAAATGTAATTTATAGATTTTTGAGTCTTTTGTGAATTGTGATAACGGAGATGTGATCATATGACTAAGGAGATCGACTTCTGAATTTAGCGTCTTGCAATGCATTCGAGACTCGACTTTTGGGACAATGAGAAATGGGGAGTTTCATAATTTGCTGAATTCTGGGAAAATCTTGTCCGTCCTTGATTTTCTCGGAGATTGAAGCATTTATCAGTGACTCATTCGTTTCGAGTTTGAACACCGACGCTGTCCTCAGGTTTCATTAGTTTCTCGTAAGAAATACCTCATCGTTGTTGTTTGGATGGTGAGATGTGTGATTCTTCTTACTCTCACCTTTATGTAAATCTCTTTCGTCCCCCCATAACCCCCCCTCCAAGAAAAAAAGATTTGGCAAATTAACCAAGTAGCATTGTCGTTTTACTATTTTTAGTATCTTAGCCGATTTATCGCTCAGGTTGCCGTTCCTTGTTCTTCCAGAACTAACAGTGGCGGATGATACGGTTGATGATCAAACCGGCGGGGAATTTTCTGATCCTGACGTACGCCAGAGCGACGGTCATGTCGAGGAATTGATGAAAAGGATCGATGCACTGGAATGTGAGAGAGGTGGATTGGCGAATGAAATTGCAGGTAGGAAGACCGAAATTGATAAACTGACGCAGGAGATTGACGGCTTGAGAGAAGATGAATCGAAGATGCGAGAGAAGATTGAAGGTTTGGAGAGAAAGTTCGAACGGTCTGAGGTGGCCAAGAAGCCAGAGGAAGCTATGGCGGCGAGAAGGGCCGACCTCGAGGCCGAGGTTTTCAGGCTTAACCGTGATTAAATATCTGTAAAGAGTGCTGCTGAGGGATCTAGAACAGAGTGCGCTAAATTGAGGAGCGTTTTGGAAGAGAGAGAATCAATGGTGTTGGATTTAGAGTGTGAAGTAGAAGGGTTAAAGAAAGCAAAATTAGAAATCGACAAGAAGGCGAAGGACTTAGAGAGGAAAATTGGGGTTCTTGAGATGAAGGAAACTGAGGAAAAGGCAAGAAAATTAGGGTGTTGGAGGAGTTGAGAGAGGAAATTGGGGAGAAAGAGAAGGAAATTGGTGGTTTTAGACACAGGCTTGAGGAGTTGCAAAGGGTTGTCCCAGAGAAGGGATCTGTATTGGAAGAAAAGCTAAATCTGGGGGAGGCACTGAGAGAATCAGAGGAGAAAACAAGAAGCATGGAATCAAATATTTTGAAAATGCAGAAGAAAGTTAAGGAAGCAAAAAACATTGTCAAATCTTTCACGGAGAAAGCTAATGAGGCAGTCAATGAAGCTGTGAATGAAATGGATAATGAAGCAAAGGCAAAGGGGTTGAATGGGTTGAAGCCGCAGTGGCCTGTGGTTGCAGCATCTACTGGAGCTATTGCTGCAGCAGCTGTTGTTATCTTTGTCTGCTATGGAAAACGTACGTGATTTCCCTGAGCAGAGGAATAGAGGAAGGAGGAACTAGGAATTGGATGACCAAGGTCAGCCCAAGTAAGGATTTTCCATTTCTAGTAAGAAGAATACTTCAATTTTGTTATTCATAAATCTAATGCTTTCACTCAACAGGGGAAAAAGAACTAATGCTTTCTGGTTTTGAGTTTTTTCCTTGAGCTAATAAAATTTTGATTCATGTCTGCATGTTAGTTGGTGGTTGAGAGAACTAAAACCATTTGCGTATAGGAAGAATGCCCTGCCTTGACTTACAGCAAGCAGTAGGTTTTCGTCCTGCTGAAGAAGAGCACGATGATGTGCTTTCTAATCCGTAGGTTTGCTTCAGTAATAATGGCGGTCATACGACCATTTGAGATTAAATTAAACTAGTAATTATATGCCTTATCTGGTGTTGCCAAATATTGAGCTTGGTTGGAAGCATAATGAAGGTGTAAGTAATCTATGCTTGCATCACCTCTTTATCAGTTTTTTCAGTTTTTAAAGTCATCTTCTATTAGTATACTTTTTCACATTAAATAATTTTTTTTTTAAATTTGGCTTTTGGTGCTGGTGTTTGAGGCCTTATTGAGCACAAAAAGGGGCACTTCTCCTAATATAGGAGATTCAAACCTTGGTGGACTAGTCCCTTCCACTAAGAATATTATGTTTTGATAAAAAATGCTTGTAGTTATTGATAGACTGGTAAAAAAATTCTTCTTTTTTTTGGGTTCATTCCATGCTATTAAAATATTGTTTTTTTTTCTTGTATTAAAAACACTGTTATTCACACTGCCAAATTTATTAACAAAATGGATGATCTGGTCTGTGATATGAATTTTGGGCGTATAAGGGCAAGATGATCATTTTCCTTTGAATGGCTTTTCTTGTTCTATAGCCCTAAAAAAGTTCCAACCACAAAATATTCTCAAGATGCATGATTGCATCCTCAGTGGACCTCTTCAAGGAATTCAATGTGTGCTAACTTTGTGCAATACCATGAAATATATTCTCTTGATGCTAAATATAAAATTAACTAGTTTGCATGAATTAAAAAATTAATTCAATTAATTATTTGTAAAAAAATGTGTTGATTTTTTTAAAACACTTATCCTGTTACATATTTATATTAGAGTGTAATCAACATAGCTATAGCGATATTTTGACAAAAAATATAGTAAATACGTGAGATAAAAAAACATTAACATCTTGTGTTTATAATTAAAACAATATTCTTAATTTAGATTGGACAAGGTAGAAAGATATTATATCAGAACTAGTTTATTTCGGCACTTGAAATCTCCTCGCAAGAATGCCATGCTCTATGTGAAGACTAGATGTTCATTATATCTTGCCAGGCTTTTCCAATTTGTCAAGCTGGGATCCCAACCAAATGGGTCTAGGGAATATATCGCAAGCCAACTTTGTGCAATATGTTTGACATGATGCATAATTGAGGTTAATTTAGAACTAGCAATTAACCTTAATTTTAAAGGCTCATTATATGTCACATTCTACGAATCATGAACATCATAACAAGAATAGCATACTTCAAATCAAAATTATATCTGAACTCATATTTTTCACTAAAAAATAGCACAATTGAGATATTGACTAGGAACATGAAACCACATCGTAGAAAAATCCAACATACCAAATTTGTGTAAATTACCAAATCAAGCAGCAAGTACAGAGACAGACACACATATTACTGAAAATCACCAAACTTGGACAGCCCCAAACTTTTGAATACTTATTGAAGTTGCGGCCATTTATCAAAGCTTCATCTAAAATTCCATTGATCACAGGGCTTAAACGCCGAATCTTCTGGGACTCATGCGAGTCTTGAAAATCTGGAATCAACCGCCTATTGCTTAGAATAACAAGCATGAATAATATGAGTTCACTCTGCCACAATCAGAACTGAAAAAGATCTTTTGAGTGTGAGTTTCTTTTTAAAATGACAATTAACTTGTAAAGAGAAAATGAAAATCTAAACTTTTGGATCATAAATCTAAATGTTGTTTTGAAATATCAACAACTCTTAAAAAAAGTTAAAGTATATTTTTGTTCCTTTAACTTTACGTAAGATTTTAATTTTGTACTTTAACATTATAGATTATATTTTTAGTTTGTTAACCGTAAAACTTTTAACAAAGAAAAAAATGATGATATTGAGATCTTGAATGCTGAAATAACATTCTTAAATGTTAATATACGAAGTTTAATAACTATGATTGTTACAAAAAAAATTATCATATAAGATTTTAGTGTTAAAAATATACTTTTTAAAGTTAAAGGACCAACTTAAAGTCTTGTATAAAGTTAAAGAACCAATTATATAATTCTGCCTTTGAAAAATGAGGAACATGATATAAGGACACTTAAATATTTTAAAGATTGATTTGGGCATTTTAATTGTTTTAGAATAAAAGACTAACAACTTAATTTCTTTTAAACAGTTCAAATTAGTCGTTGCATTCATACATGGACGGAGCCTTAACTTGCATCATGCATTTGATTTAGGAAGCAACAAACAGAAAAATGAAATCATTACAACACTGCTGATGAATTTGTGTAGAAATAAAAGTTATTATGAAAAATAACTTTAGATTTAAATAGATAGAAGTATAACTTTATAACCAACCTGGAGTTGCAGCATATTCCCATTCAGCGGAATTTTTGAAGCTTTATGGCGACAATAACATAGATTCGATCAACCACACCATTAAAAAATCGAAAATAAGAGTGCCTCCATGCTCTGTTCAGGACTAGTGAACCACAAACTACCCAGAATCCTACAGCAAAGCCAACTCCCATTCCAAGATACAATGAATTCAAAAAACCATCATCCTCATTTTCTTCAACTTTCTCTGTATTATCTGGTATTGTGCAGTGCTTTTGAAGAGGAGGCCCACAAAGATCAAGATTTCCGGCGTAACTCCATGCATTAAAACTCTGAAGCTGAGTGCCCAGCGGAATTTGGCCGCTGAAATGGTTGTACGACAGATTCAAAACATCGAGAAAAGATAGACCGGACATGCTCTGAGGAATATTCCCATGAAGATTGTTGTGGGACAAATCAAGAGATTCTAGATCTTTCATCTCTCCAATCTGCTCTGGTATCTCTCCTATCAAATAATTGTAGGACAAGTTCAGTGATTGTAACTCGGTGAGCTTGAACAACTGTACAGGAATTTCTCCTGATAGCTTATTAGCTGATAGGTCAATACTTCTCACGAACTTTAGAGTTTTCCCATACTCTAATTGTTGACCCTTTGTGTGCAAATCAATTTTCATGAATTCTTTTGCAGTCTTAAAGAAATTATTTGATACTTGACCGTATAAAAATTTTCAAGTGAAGGCAAACGGTCGCGTTGTGTAGACAGTGAGGGATTGATCCAGAAAATTCATTATTAGCAAGGTCCAATATCGTCAAGTTCAAGAGACAACATAGTTGTGGCGGAATGTTCCCCGTAAATTGATTGGATCTCAATTTTAGAATTGATATATCTTGGGGCATCCATGTTTGTATACCTCCAGAGAAGTTATTTCCTTCTAAATTGAGAAGCACCAAAGACATGCAATTATTGAAAGTCGAAGGTATATCACCAAAAAATCTATTATTACGTAGATCTAGCGCGTTTAAGAGAGGTAATGATGAACCCATCATGGGTGGAACTCGACCGGTCAACTGATTATTCCCCAAGTATAAGTCAGACAAGTTCCCCAATTTGTTCCAACAATCTGGAAGTTTTTGAGTGAGATAATTATTTGATAGGTCCAAATACAGTAAATAGTTGTGACACAATAAAGTATCTAAAGGTCCCGAGAAATAGTTGTGAGATAAATCCAAAGCTTCGACCAAATTTGATACTCGAGGAAGCCTTCCTTTAAATTTATTAGATGACATAAATATTTTCAAATCTGTCTGCCCTGCTCTAATTGAGGCGGCAGACTCATTTTGGCCAAGAATGTTTGGGAGCGGACCACTCAAGTGGTTGAAGCTAATATCTAAATAGTCTAATAAAGCTGATGCGTTTAGGAGATTAGAAGGAATGGAACTGTGAAACAAGTTATTAGATAGATCAAGGAGTTCTAGTCTATCAAGCTGGCCAAGCCACTCAGGTATTGACCCCTTGAGTTTGTTGTTAGATAGATCTAACTGCCTCAGATTTCGATAGCCTGAAAGATCTGGAATTTGACCTCTCAAATTGCATTGACTGAGTCGAAGATCAAAGCCAACATGATCTTTGCTAAGATTGAACAACCATTTAGGTAATCCAAATGCAAAATCATTCAGACTAAGATCAAGAGATGAAAGTGAGGTAAAATTGGCAGGCTGGAAAGACAGAATAGAGGTGGTCAAATTACAATCATCCAAATATAAACTCTCCAGAGGCAGCGAGGCCAATGATTGAACCCAATTGGTTTCACTAGGAAGATGAATGCCACTGAGGTCGAGAGATGTCAGGGAAGGAAGTCGAGAGAGCCAATAATGAAGATTATCAGTGTGGAGATGAATATTGTATGATAAACTCAGATAATAAAGCTTAGAAGAATTGGGTAGCAAATGGGTATGAGTTGCAACAGAATTATTGATAGGCGCCATGCTTATGCGTTCAAAGTCATTGCCGTCCAAATACAGCAATTTGAGAGATTCAATAGCAAGTAAAGAAGATAAGTTGATTTCACCTCTCAGTGATTCTGAATGATTGGTGCTTATTGGATCAACATAATAGTCTCTCTCGTCCGACAGCAAAAGGTTAACGACTCTGTTGTTGGTATCACACCGAACTCCATGCCATTGGCAGCAATCTGGGAGAGTGGACCAAGAAGAGAGGCGGTTGGAGGGATCAACAACGCCTTGTTTGAAGCTTAAAAGTGAACGTCGGTCCCTCTCATGGCAGCAAGTGATTGTGTTGAATCTCACTGCACATAGCAACGCCAACAGAATCAGAGACATTTGTGACGTCCGACGAAGAATCATCATGAAACTGTTTCTTGAAGTGGTGAAGGAGGGACCTAAACGGTTCCTTGAAATATTTATATAAGCACCTGTGGATTTTTTTTTTAATTTTAATTTTTTTTTAAATTTACATGAAGTTTCATTTTAGTACTTTAAATTTAAAAACATATTTTCAGTTATTTAGTTCTAAAACCATTAACAAAAAATAATAATATTGGGATTTTAAATATTAATAAGAATTCTAAAATTTAATACTCCTCCGGTCCTAATTATAAGACCCAATTGACTTATTTGAGAGATTAAGGAAGTAAGTTAAGTTGGTTATTTATAATAAATAAGTGTTGTTATTCCTAAAATATCCTTGCTAATTAAGTATATTGGCTAAAACTATCATTAGAAGGATTATCTTGGAAAAAATGCATAAATATAAGAGAGAAATGAATTGGGTCTTATAATTAGGACCAAATAAAAAGTCAAATTGGGTCTTATAATAAGGACCGGAGGAGTATAATTTTCAAAACAATCATACTTATTACAAAAGATTATCATTTAAAACTAACGATTATTAGATGACTAAAACTATACTTTTTAAATTTAATTAAAGGACTAAACTAAAATTATGTATATAGTTAAAGCATTAGACATATTCTTTAGCCATTAATTTTTTTATAGAAAATTTTACATTAAATTGTTTTTTTCCTAATTAAAAATAAATTGCGTGATTTTTTTCCCTTCAGTTATTAAGACAAATTTCTCTTTATTCTCAAAATCTATAAAACTATGCCAAACAAAAAACATAAAATACAAGAACTTGTTCTAAATGTTTTTTAAGATTTAGTTCTTCCCATTTTCATGATAAGTTGATTTTGAAGGTGGATGGGAGGTTTGCATGATTTAAAACAAAAAAATATTGAAGGAGAATGATAAAATTAAATCTTTTTTCTTTTTTTTGGGAGTAAGGCTGATAAAAGCACTTAAAATAGAATGAAAGTTATAAAATTTTTGCAAAATTTAAAAGAATTTACATTAATGCTCAAAAATAGAAGGAAAAACTCTACAATTTTCTCAAAAATATTTGTATAGCTTACTCCTTTAATTTTTTTAAAAGAGAATAGATGGAGATTGATATGAAGTTTTTTTTTATTTAAAAAAAAAAAGAGAATAGAAGGAGATTGATATGAAGGTTTATAAAAGCACTTAAAAATAAAATGAATATTTGTATAATTTCAGCAAAATTTAAGAGACTTTACATTTAGTTCTCAAAAATAGAAGAAAAATATCCTTTTAATTTTCTCAAAATACAAAATATATGTCTAAAGGTTACTTTCTTGATTTTATTTTCTTGACCAATTCACAGAAGTTTTCCAATATTTTTTCCAAGTCTTCTCACCTTTTTTTTTTCCCCTCCCAGTCTTTGCCTCAAATCCCGTTGCTTTTCAGTTATGACTTTTTTCTCAGGAAATTGCTATGAAATGGGTAAATAGTTAATACCCATCGAACACGAAACGCTACAAGTGATTCGCTATTCTTTGTGCAATTAATAAAATATTTCTAAACGCTAAAATATTAAGTTTAATTTTTTAAAAATAATAATAATTGGCATACAAAATTATTATGTGAGACCTAAGATTTTATTAAATTAGGATTAGAAGGTTAAAGATATTTTATAAAATTAGGAGACCAAACTAAAATTTTATTTCAAGTCAGATGACTAAATATACTTTTTTTTTTTTACCAAAGATTAAATATACACTCTTATAATTTTTCATCACTAAAATCTTCCCTGCCGAGTGAACCTGAAAGTATTTCCCAGCATGTGTTTTAATGTGTGTGTCTGTGTGTGTGAGAGAGAGAGAGAGAGAGAGAGAGAGAGAGAGAGAGAGAGAGAGATACTTCAATAAAGTTGATCGATTTCATTAAAGAAAAAGAAATGTAAATTCTGAAATATATGATATGAATTCTAAATCGTTGGGGGGACAAGACTATGAAGTCTGAATGTAAATACTAAAATTTGTATTTATTTGAAAAGGAATACTAGGGGAATCATATACGTATCATGAAATTTGTAATGCTATTAACAAATTCGGTATAACAATTAACAATAAGTTGTCTAAAAATTTTAAAAAATAGCACTTTTGCGACTTTAATAACACGATTAACAAGTTCTATAATACTATTAGTACAAAATAATATATTAAATATGAAATTTGATTTTTTTAACTTAAATATTATCCTCTTACTTTTAGACGTTAAAATGTTTATTTTGAACGAATTTTAATTATTTAATTAAATTGAACCGTTTGGTTTTATTAAGAATATTTGTTCCCTTGGAATCCAAACCATTCTAAAATAGAAATCTTGTTCTTCTTAAATAAATAATTAATATCTATATTGTTTTTTTTTGTGCTTTTTCCAAAATTATATTATATAAACTTAATTAGTCTTCATATATAATGACGTTCTCATATGTGTTTAACTTGCTTTTTGGCTGTGTTTAAGCTTTTTGAGGCCCTACTGATCGATCTTTATTATTTTATATAGCTTCATGAATTTTTTAAGAATCTTCAGCAGTTCCCATTGCTTTTGAATTACCTTTTCTCAAGAAATTGCTGTGAAATGAGTAATAATTGTATAATGCCCCGTCCACCGCCTTTTTGAATTGCTATGAATTACTCCTGATCAGTTCTCATTGCTTTTGAATTATTTGTTTTTATCTGCGTTAAGACTGAATTATACTAGCTTTGATATCTAATATAAGAATTAGTTTGATTTTCATTTGGATCCTAAATATAAGACTCAAATCCATTTTATCTCTTATATTTATCTATTTATTTCAAAACAGTCATTGTAATAGTCACATATATTAAAGATTCTATCAAATCCTAGTTCTAGTAATTGGTATTCTAGGGAATTTAACTTATATTTATTACAAATAACTAACTTAACAAACCTTTTTAATTTACTCAAATTAGTTAACTAACTTTTATACTTCTCCAGTCCTTAATATAAGACCTATTTAACTAATTTGATTAGATTAAAAAAGTTAGGTAAGTTAGTTAATTATAAGAAAAAATAAATTGCGTGATTTTTTCCCCTCAGTTATTAAAACATATTTCTCTTTATTCTCAAAATCTATAAAAATATTCCAAGCAAAACAAAACATAAAATACAAGGACTTGTTCTAAATGTTTTTGAAGATTTAGTTCTTTCCATTTTCATGACACGTTAATTTTGAAAGTGGATAGGAGGTTTGTATGATTTAAAAGAAAAAAAAAATTGAAGAAGACTGATATAGTTAAATCTCTCTTTTTTTTTTTTTTTTTTGAGGAAGGCTGATAAAAGCACTTAAAAATAGAATGAAAGTTAGTAAAATTTTAGCAAAATTTAAAAGGATTTACATTAATGCTCAAAAGTAGAAGGAAAAAATCTACAATTTTCTCAAAAATATTTGTATAGCTTAACCTTTTATTTTTTTTAAAGATCTCTTTTCCAAAAGTCTTGCAACCTTTTTTTCCCAAGTATTCCGACCTTATTTCCCACGTCTTTGCCCCACATCACACTCAATTGCAGTCTCTATGTTAGTTTTCTGAAGTCTAATAATTTCAATCTTATTTAATGGCTGGTGTTGATAAATCAATGAATCACTACCATTACCTATATAAGCTCAAACCAACACCACAAAAATCTTAGGGATAAGATCACACAAGAGGCTCATGCTTGAAAAGTTTTTTTTTTAATTTTAAAACAATATATTTGACCTCGTCAAAAGTTATAAGTGATTTATGCAAGGACTAAATTTTTTAAGACAAAGTACAATAGATTTTTTTTTTCCTGATAGAGAAGAAAAGGGAAGAAAACTTTACTAGAAAAAAGCAAAAAACGAAAGGAAAACAAAAAGAAGTTAGGATCTCCAATCCCCTTTAACAAGCTAGAGAGAAGGTCGATTGATCAAATAGATATTGTCATTAAGTTATTATAACAGTAATTATTTGTTATAATGGTTGTAAATTTGTGCTCTCTCTTTCTTTTTCTCTCTATGGTTTTTCCCCCTATGACTTAAACTTGTGATCTGTTATTTGTGAGTCATTTTTTATTCTTTTAAAAAATTAATACTCTTCCGGTCCTTAATATAAGACCCATTTAACTAATTTGATTAAATTAAGAAAGTTAGATAAATTAGTTAATTATACGAAAAATGACACATTTTTCCTAAAACACCATAATCATCTTTCTTAATACTCCCTCTCCCTCTTTTACCTGATTATGGTTGAGGGAGTATTTATAGGGGTAATTTAGAGAAAATTAATAAATATAAGAAAGGGGTCTTATATTTAAGACTAAAACTAACTTGAGAATTGGGTCCTATATTAAGGACCGGAGGAGTACAAGGTTACTTCAAATATCCCTTCTTTTAATTATTTAGTGTATTAGAATTTTGAGAGACACATCGCACATATACTCAACCAATAAGAGTAATTTTAAAAAAATACCCGAAAAAACCAATGTTGAAATCTTATTAGAACTAAAATAATGACTTCAATAAGCTTCCATATTTAGAAGATGAGTAAATATGTGTTAAGTTATCAGGTTTTCCCCCTCAAAATTAATTTTTTGTGGAATAAGTACCAATCAAGTCATCTTGTCAAGTCTGTCCACCCTTTTCTACAACTCCACCAACCAAGCCAAGGGTGTCTGGTTTACAATAAAAATTTTTTAAAAATATTTTCATATAAATCAAGACAAAATTTTTTTTACATATTTTTCTGTATTTTGTAAAATTATTTTTAAAATTATGATTTAGTTTCTACCTAAATACCTGTTAAGTCAATTTGTTTGTGATAGGTCAAGTCTTTGGACCTTCCTTTTATTATTATTATTATTCCAAGTATTGTGAAATAGATGCTGATCAAGTAAAAGGCGTTATACTAATTATCAAGATCTTTGAAATTTTCAAAGTCGTTTTACTTGTCATCGGCAAGAATGTCTCTTATCACTCCCTCCTTCCCTTTATATAAGTAATATTAGAGCTC